AAAAGCTACATTTATTTTAAAAAGAACCTGAGGTAACAGTTAAGGATAATTCTATTGATTCTATCCTCCTGTATTCAATGCCCTCTTGGCATGAAGCTGACTGGGTGAGAGCAGCAATGGAGATGAGCTTCACCTCCTTATCTTTTGATTATTACTTTTTTTTTTTTTTTTTGCTAAACAGGCTTTTTTGCCCATCTAAGGATGGTGCTTAAAGGTGGGGGTGGCAGGGTGGCAGGGGTTGATATCTGACATGTTTTAGGAATTTACTGAAAATGTTTCTGTTTGCTTTGGCTTTCCTTCAGCCATGTACTAACTGTGTGCCAACCTTATAATACAGTACTTTGCATGGGTGCATGACTTTTCCTTGTTCCTATTATTTTTAAACCACTTTGGGGTTGATCTCAAAAAAGCCATGGTATTTTCCTTTTTATTTCATCCTCAAAACAACCCTGTAGAACAGGTTAAGCTGAGAGAGAGCGGCCAACCTAAGCACATGCTTCATGGCAGGCCCCTTAACATATCTCTAATATTCTTTTCAGTGTACCATAGTGGTAAGACATCCATAAATCTATGTGACAATGTGATGGTGCAGATTTGCTTGCAGGGACAAAATTTGAATCTCTGCACAGCTATGATGCTCAGTCTTGGGCATATTGAGGAACACTGTTATTCAGAGGCAGACATTGGGGTCTCCTGTCCTACAGTCTGCTCCTTCCTATGTTACTAATCTGAGCACACAACATTGAGAAATACCATGAATTGAAAACAAACTTCAAATTTGTGGGCACTGGAATTAAATTGTCAGGAGCTAGGATATAAATTTTGAAGACTTGGGATTTTTCCACATTTGCCAGAGAACACTTCCAGGTAAAGTACAGACTGCTGAAGTATAGATAAAGTACAGACTGCTGAAGGGAAGCAGACGTTTTGGTTTCTAGACCACAGTTGAAGAAAAATTTGTCACTGTGGAAAGGTGGCTCTCAAGTAGCTAAAGAAAACAGATGGCATTGAACAGGGAACATCTTCCACTAAATGATTCATGAATCATTAGCAAAGATAAGTGGCAAGACAACCAAGGGGAGAAAACCTACATATGCAAGTGGTGGTGACTAATATGTAAATGCTAAAATATGTTTTGAAGATCCTCACCATAACAGCACTTTATACAAAGATGCCTTTTACTACATTTATCTTTGGCAGAAGACAATGTATTTTAATCCTAGAAAAAAATGAGTAGCGTTTTGCATAACACGATGACTTAATAGCAGAAAACTAGTTGATTGGGAAAATCAGAATAAACTGCAGAAATTTTGCATGCTACAACCATATGATATAAAGGTAGAACTGAAGAGGAAAGAGACCTGCCAAATGTCATCCCTTGCAACCTTTTCCACCTTGAATGCTAGTTCTACTGTGATGTATAATCTATTGAATTATACATGCAAGCGTGCATCTGCGCATATTCTAAGAATGTTTACTGGAAATATACCTCATTGAATGAAATGGGGCTTATACACTGGAAAGTACACTTATCTGCACATTTTAGAAGCAGAGGGTTGCAACCAATGGCTGCGCCATTCATATAAGTTTTTTTGAGGCTTCTGTGAAGTGGGTGGGGTTGAGGAAGTAATTTTTGGCAATTTCTCTTTGCTCTTGCAGTTTCCTGTGTCTCCTTGCAAATCTGATCTGGAGACCCCTTGAAACTGGATAAGGCTATCACTGCTGTTTATTATTATGGAGAAAAAGAGGATCAGAGACAGCATGCGTCTATGTATTGATAGCAGGGGAATACAACAGGGCGGGTGCTACAGTGCTCACGGCCTTCTTGTGGGCTTCCCATGGACAGCTGGTTGGTAATCGCGAGAACAAAATGTAGGACAAGATAGGCCTTTGATCTGATCTAGCATGGCTCACTTTATGTTCTTAAAATCCTAGCATGGAAGGTTGGGCGGGGGGGGGGGGGGTTCTGCAGGAGAATTGGTAAAAAAAATGTCCCTCCACTTCTGCTCAAAGAAGTGTCAGTTAAATTGAAGAACTTCCTGTGAATGAAATCACAACACTGGATACATTGCAAAGAATGGGAACTGAGAGATTCTGACTAACCTCCTAGGTCTACATGGTATATTAATAGCCTTTATTGAATAGACATATCTTAAGTACCCTGTCTGAAACAGTATGTTCTGGAGAAAAATTTAGTTCTCACTATTTATTTTTATTTGTTATTAAAAGGTAAATATTGCTTTCTGGCAAAGATCCCAAAGCATCATACTACTGTAATTAAAATGGAATGAAATCAACTACATAAAGCATGAAAAATAGCAACTGTATAAAACACAGAGATGTTTGAGTCAAACTTTATGAACTGTCATTCAAAGGTTTTGAAAAAATACATCTATATTCCAAAAGAGACAAACAAAAACACAAGCAAAATGATCAACAATAGTACATCCAAATTTTTAAATTTTATAGATTAAAAAATATGAGGTTTTTGCTAACTTTCATAGATCAAAACATTTAAAATATTTTCAAAAAATTATATACCAAAACATTTCAAAAATTTTTAAATGTGAAACATTTTAGTATAAAACACCAGCTTTTGTCATAAAATCATATTCAAATATTTAAATTTTAACTTGTAACCTTTTTGTTGTATGAAATTTTGTAAACAATTTTATTTTAAACATTTTAAATATGTAAAGTTAATTACTGAATGTATCACTGATGGTCATTTAGCTGATAATTTGAAATACTCACTGCCCACATATTGGTCAAATATGTACAGAAACATAGAAACAGAGCGAGTCAGAAGGGGCCGCCCGGGCCATCTAGTCTGACCTCCGGCACCAGCTGGCTCCGCTCACGACATGCCCACCATGTGCATGTCCAGCCTATCCTTGAACACCCGCACCGATGGGGCCTCAACAACCTCTTGTGGAAGCCCATTCCACACCCTCGGGGTCCTGACTGTCAGGAAGTGCTTCCTGGCATCTAAATGGAACCTTGGCTCCCTGAGCTTTGCTCCATTGGAGCATGTCCTGCCTTCCCCTGCAGGGGAGAATAGGTCTCTACACATCTCCATGTGACATCCCCTGACATACCTGTATGTCGCCAACATATCCCCTCTGAGTCTCCTCTTTTCCAGGCTGAAGAGACCCAGTTCCCTCAGTCTCGCCTCATACCCCATCCCCTGCAAACCGGCCACCAACCTTGTGGCCCTACGCTGCTCTGACTCTAACCTGGCTATATCCTTTCCGTAATGAGGGGTCCAAAACTGAGCACAGTACTTCAGTTGTGGGTGCACCAGAGTCGTATAGAGTGGTAGTAATACCTCTCCCAATCTAGAAGCCACACTTCTGGCTATGCTACCAAGGGTGGCGTGCGCCCTCTTGACCACCGCATCACACTGCTGACTCTTGTTTAGCCTGCAGTCAACCAGCACCCCGAGGTCCCTTTCACAAGTGCTGCTCTCCAGCCACTTGTCCCCTAACCTGTACTTATAACACCTATTTCAATGCTCTAAGTGCAAGACCTTGCACTTATCCACATTGAACACCATCCTGTTGTCTCCTGCCCACTTCCAGTGTCTGTCCAGCTCCTTCTGGATCTGGAGTACCTGCTCCTCAGTTGTGGCCACTGCTCCAGTTTTAGTGTCGTCTGCGAATTTGATCAGCAGTCTGTTCACCCCTTCTTCCATGTCATTTATGAAAAGATTAAACAGGATCGGCCCCAGGACAGAGCCCTGGGGGACCCCACTTGTCATTGACCGCCATCCCAACGATTCCCCACTAATGGTTACCCTCTGCTTTCAGTCAGTCAACCATGCCCTAATCCATCAGACAGTGCTTTGGCGTATCCCAAAACTCCTCAGTTTCTTCACCAGGGTATCATGGGGCACTTTGTCAAAGGCCTTGCTGAAATCCAGGTATACCACATCCACTGCATCCCCTCCATCTAGCCATCTTGAAACCTTGTCATAGAATTCCACAAGGTTTGTCTGGCAGGACCTGTTTTTGCGGAAGCCTTGTTGTGTGGCTGTCAGCCTCCCTTCCCTATCTAGCATCACTAGATCTCTATTATGAGCCTTTCTATTGTTTTTCCTACAATGGATGTAAGGCTAACAGGTCTGTAATTCCCCATGTCCCTTCTACTACCCTTTTTGAAAATTGGGACCACTGATGCCACCCTCCGTTCCTCTGGAATTTCACCCATTCTCCACGAGACCTCAAAAATGGAGGCCAGTGGGCATGAGAGAACCCCTGCCAACTCTCTAAGTACTCTCAGGTCTAACCCGTCAGGGCCTGGTGCCTTTGTAATGTCCAATGCCCTGAGGAGTCCCTCGACTTCAAGGGTGGTGACTCTAATCTGTGCCCCTAAGTCCCCAGCCTCATCTAATCTCCTATGCGGATATCCCCCGTCCTCCTTTGGGGAGAACACAGAGGCAAAATAGTCATTTAGCATCTGTGCCTGTTCCCTCATATCAGTCACTGGATCTCCTTCCTCCTTATTTAATGGTCCTACCACTTGTTTCCCCTTCCTCTTCCTATTTACATGCTGAAAGAAACCCTTTTTGTTGCTCTTGATATTCTTGGCAAGCCTCAGCTCATAATCAGCCTTAGCCTTGCGAAGAATCCTTCTGCAATGGGCCTCCTCCTTCCGGTATACCCTTTTGTCTATTTGCCCCAGTACCCATTTCCTACGGAGGTTCCTCTTTCGTCTAATCCCTCTAACCACCTCCTTTCACATCCATGGTGGCGCTCTCCTCTGCCTCCCCTCCTTACTAACTAGAGGTATCATCAAGGCTTGCACCTCCAAAACCTCCCTTTTGAGTGCCATCCACCCCTAGAGGACTTATCTAAATAAAGGAGCAGGCACTGACCTGCTAAAATGTAGGAAAACAGGGTAAAAGACAGCTCTCATGTGAGGATGTACCAAAGGCTGGGCACTAGAGCCAAATGCAACAACTTTTGAAGAATCTCCAGTTTGCCCCTTGTGAAACTCACCACTGGATGCTCTCATTTGACGCTTACACCCGACTCTGTCTAGGCCAATAGGTGTGCTTTGAGAAAAGGTGAAGGGGCGGAATCTAGCGGAGACAGCTTTGTATGGAGGAACCTGATGTGCAGGAACTGGAGGACGTGCAACTGGCTAAAAAAGCAAATAAAGAAAGATTGTTATCATGAAAACCTACCTGGAAGCCTAACTAAGTCATGTACAAAACAATATTCCTTTGAAAGTAAAGTTCTGTATACAGGCAACTATATCACATTATTTTACTATATTACAGTAAGTAAATATTAGGTCTCCATATAATTTTATGGATTAATTATTGTATATACTATTAATAAACTCAGTTGCCCAAATGCCAATCATTATGTAGCCAAAAAGAGTATCATCCATCCACAAGAGAAAAGTATTAGCAGTTTGGGGAAGTCCCAAGTTTGCAGAAGTATAAAAGAACTGTAGGAAAAACCAAAGAGCCCAAATATATCTGTTTTCCTGTAAGGCTGATTTTGAAAGCAAATTGAGAGCACTATGATGTAATTCTGACTGTTCCTTGACTTTCTTATTTGCTTATTTGTTCATAGTCAAACTTTGCATTGCTAACTTTCACACTAAACTCTAAAGTCCTAACATCCTCTTTTACAGATTTTCTCAGCTTTTCAAGCAGTTTCTCTCCAGAAAGAGTATTTATTAAAACTTAGATTGCTGTCTTCATAGAAACCTTTGTTTGACCCTTCAATATGTAACCATTTTACATCATTTTATTCATTATATGTATATCCCACTTTTTCTTCCTTCCAAGGAACTTACAACAGCTTACATTATTCTGTAATCATATCCTCAGCACAAGAATACTGTGAGGCAGGTTGGGCTGAGAGTGCATGACTGGTCCAAATTCACACTGTGAGTAGGGACAAGAAACCAGATCTCCCGTCTCAGGCCTGTACTTTATTCCCTACACCACAACGTCTCTCAAGTGTGTTTCCTCTCTATTAAATAGTTTCCCTTGCATTAAATTGGGAAGCAAATAAAAATAAGCATAACAAAGGCATTTTTTGTTTTTGTTTTGTTTGGCATACTACTGGGCCTCTGGAACTTACAAGAGAGAACAACAAAAACAAACACAAGCAACAATTATTCTTTAAAAGCTGCTTATAAGAACACTTCTTAGTTGTACTTGTATTTTGTGTGTTTCCTCTCCTTATTTTAAGAAAAGTTTAGGCTTACTTTTTCAGAACTTTTCTAAATTGTCTAAATGCCCCTTATTAAATACCTTCTTGCACATTTTCAACTCCAGTAACAAACTATACATTTTCATCCTAAAAATACTTGATAGTTCCCATTTTCAGTGGCAGTTATGTGCAAGGAAAAGGAATTACCCCTTGTTTATTGCACATTCATTTACACTTAGAATGGTAGCAGAAATTTCTGCCTGGTCTGTTTCAAAATAATTAATACATCAGTATATTAATAATGTACTTCAAAGCAACCCTCTATCTCTGATTTTGTTTCTACATTTCTAGGAAAGCTTAATTTATATTGAGCAAGTATGTACATTTAAAAGTGGTAATAAAATAGACGTGCTAAATGCTACCTATGAAAACAGAGTATAAAGGAATCAGATATGGAGGAATCAATTCCTTCCTTTAAATACATTGCACACTGCAGAAAATTTAGAGGGGGAGGGGCCTTCTGCCTTTCTACAAAGCTCAAAAAAGTCATAAACTATGAAACAACAGTCGTGATACAGTCATAGTGACAAGGTTAGAGTGTTTCAATCTATCTTTTAACTATAATTTGGTGACAAGAGTTATTGCAAAATATGAAGCCAAAGTCCCACCAAAGCACACAAGTTAACATGCAAGTGAACATTTCAGGATCTGATGCTACAGTTCTTCTAAAGCAAAACTTCTATTGATTTAGTTATTTATTTTTGTGATGTAAAAATGAAACCATTTTTGTTAGTTAATATCCAAAGGATCAATAATGCACAAGAGATATAAATAAATGTATACAGATACTGCTGGAAACCCAAATCCTGGACATGCTCAAGCAAAACAGACTCCCCTGAATCCAAACTGACTTATTCCCAGGTAAGTTAGGCTTGCAGCCTTAATTTCTAAAGAAACTGTACAGCTCCCTATCAGAATTTAAATTAATGAAATGGCTGTCCCTTGTTATACAATTCTTTTTTCCAGTATAAAGAAACTTCCTAGCTTACACAGTCCCACAAGAAAGACTAAGGGTTTCAAAGTATGTTAGAACTCATGTAAGTAAAATTCAAGTACATACTTTTTAAATGGTTCTAGAATGTCTGAAAACAAAAATTAAAATAATCCTGTTTAAGTTTCACCCATGTATAGCTTATATTTGAGGTAAACTGAACTGAGCCATAGGCAATTCAGTCAATCAGGTCTTAACTCAACTATCCATGGGTTACTTTTAAGACAAGAAAGAATTCAAGTGTTACTTAAACCCTCATCTCAAAAACTTTAACAGACCCATTAAAATATTCAGTCACACCATGGTATCACCTAGCCAACACATTCCACACAACCGAAGGACCAATTCAGATGTAACTTTTTCAGCGTAAGGCACATGTGGGACATGAGTCTCTGCATATTATCTAAAATGCAATACACATAAAATGCATAAATACTGGCTATGTTCAAGTGAGAGCCATGTAATTTTGATCAGCGTCTGACATTTGCTTGGAGAAATGCAGAGAAAACTGATTCCTGTATCTGCCAAACATGAAAAGCAGTGAGACATTAATTGGGCCTAATGAATGGTGATGATAATGATGGCATGATGTGGATATACATTTTGTAGCTTTAAAGACAGTAAGATTTCTCCTTCCCTATATGTGACATGTTATTTCATGAACTATAGGTCCTAGAAAGAAAAAGTGCCATAATAATTAGGCACACTTATCCCAAGGACATTGGAACTCTGCAGCTGGCAGGATTTACAGGCCAGAAATACAGGTGAATAAACATACTTCACAAATACTCTACAGAAATTGTGAAGAGTTGCATCTGAAAAGAGTCAAGTCTCTTTTGAAACTTTTAACTATCCTCATGTATCTGATTAATTTTTCCCCAAACAGAACTGAAATTTATTTTCAGAGCTTAGCATTACATTTTTTGCAAGTTTGTTTATTCATTTATTCAAATTGATATGCCACCGAACTAGTCATAGGCTCTCTGGGTAGCTAACAACATATTAAAATTCAACAGTTTTTGCCAGTGATTATGGTAGAAGTTGAAAGAAGTTTCAACAATAAAAAACTGCAAATGTTTTTCTATATGGCAAGGAAGGTTTAAGCCCTAGCTCTTTTGTCTTTCCAGCATGAACTTGTAAGAGAAATAATCTTTGGGTAGAAAAAAGATTTAAGGAGAATATATATTTATGTTTGCAGCCATGATGGTCCATTCAAGTGATACAGTAAATTAAATCACCATCTTAATACTTTTATTATGGCCAACAAAAAGGTTATAAAATAGTCAGCAAGCTTTATGAGACTCTTCCTCAATTTAAATGTAGTGTTAAAGCAAACAGGAAGGAGGTTGGGAGGTTAAGGCATGAAAGAATCCCACTGTGAGGCATGGTGTAATTTCAGAAATGTAGAAACAATGATAATTTCAGAATTAAAACAGAAACTTTTAGTTCATAACTCATGAGGTCATGGTATCTGTGTATGATGGGAAGGGTTACAACTAAAAAAGAGATGCTTGAGCCCTGCCTTATGTATGCCATGGACTAAATTCAGCTTTTGGCATACCTCTGCAGGATACCAGAAATATTGGTTAGTGATAGAGTGCCAAAAATCTGAATGTGAGAGCAGGCTGAGCAGACAGGCAAATCACCTTACCAGAATCTTTTACAGTATGGTGAGATGTTCTGGATTTCTGTTTAAATTAGAACAATAATTCTCTAATTCTGCATATGCAAATATTGTGCAAATCATAGTATTTGTGTAACTTTTGCAGGTGTCTACCCTAGGGCTTTTTATCAATAAATGCATTAGATTTTTTGACAATGTTTTTAGATTGCACTATTATGCTTTTAGCTGCTTTGGCTTCTAGCTTGAAATAAGAACAGTAACTAACACAGTAACAATCACTGAACAATCTAACTTGATATGTTGTTACCAAAACTATTTTTCTTATTCTCCTTAGTACTCAGGCTAATTTATACCTACCCACTTAATGGATCTGATGGCACAGGCTCTGATCTACAATTAATGCTGGCTGGTGCATGCTGTGAGTTGTAGGCCTTTCTTCTATCTAAATTTGCATAGGATCAAGCCTTTAATCATTAAAATGACACACTTCTCTTTGTTTCCAGTGCTGCTAGATTTTCTCTCCAACCAAGTCTGGCCAGGTTCCATTTCAAATTGCCAGTCACAGTCTTTTTTTATATCTACAGTCCATTCATCTTTGGCAAATCCAAAAATTAGTGCTCAAGATATTTCCATCCTAATACATGCTTTCTACAGACTAAGAAACACTCTTATAATGTTAATATTGTTATTTATACACAACAGCAATCTGTATTGTTCATTACATAGGTCATTCCCAGAGTAATACAGGTAAGCAGAAATAAATTACAACCTCAAATGGAAATATCATATGGAAAGAAAATTTAGTAAATATTGCAAGGCAAGAATTATCTATCTATATACTAAGTGTTGGTTAATATGATTTCATGCTTTTAGAATAATAATATTTGGTGATGATTTGGGAGAAGCAGAAGGAAAGAAAAGAGTGTCCACTATTTTCTAAATTGAAGGTTATAGGCAAAGAAGGAGGATGGTCTTTTGACTGAGTTTCACAGAGAGTGCATTTTATGTCTTACTTGTGTAAGGAGATCTGTTATTTCTTCAGTTTGGTTGTTCCCACAGAAACTGACCCCACCAATGACAGAGATGGGTCTCCTTTTGCGAGTTCTTTGGTTGGTTATTGTGCAAGCTGCCGGTTCAACAGATGGTGATCTTGGCTCATTGTCATCATCCGCACAGTCCACTTTCTGTGACTCCATAGCAACGGAATCTTCTGGTATTGCGAAACTCCTAATTGCCAACTGGCCATAATCTGAGAGGGGTCGAGGCCAAGATCTTTTTCCAGAGCCCCATCTTCTGGGCATGACCTTTTGAGCATCTGTCCTTTCTTCATCTTGGAGTGAAGGCTTCTTCCAGTGATCATCAGTAACAACCTTTTTTAAATGTGAACAAGTCAAATAAGCCAAAAGCACTTAAAGAAATTAAGCTATATCCTTCACATGGTATTAGAATTTAGTCTTCCTACATGGGGTTAAATAATATAGAAATTAAAATTGCTACACATATAAAACCAAGCACATTGGTGTAAATACATATAAGTGGATGTTTAGAAGCAAATGAAAACCACAGCTAAGATTGCATATAATAGCTTGTGATAAGCTTAATTATAAGAAGAAACTATAAGGTACTTTCTATTGCTAACCAAGGGTAGCCAAGTATGATTTCTTTTTTAAAAAACAGGATTCTTCATTCAATAAAAAGTATTGATTTGCCTTATTTTTTGATAATGAAAATAACATTAGTCATGAACAGTAATCTTCAGTCTGATCAAAGGAAATCTCTTTGTGTTTCAGTAGACCAGCAGTGTGGCTTACTATAATATAGGGATTCTTCATTAATTACACTTTAGGTTGCAATTCATCACGTTTAGAAAAACCACGTTGTCACTGTTAATTAGAGTTAGTCTTAATTTCTTAGCAGCAAAATGTATAACTACTAGTAGGCTGTAGAATTTATTAAGGATGAGGTTACTAAATTAAGTTATTCTTAATAGCTTCTTAGGGAACAGTCCAATAAGGCTGCCAGCAACCCTCTGAACTTGGGGGATTATAGGCATCCTATACAGGGCCACAAACATGCAGTGGTGAAATTTGCCTCTGCACTCCTTCCTCTAGGCAAAACACTTGGAAGCCCAATATCAGCTGCCTGAGTGTGCTGCCTCAGGGTGGGAAGGGTGCCAGTGCCTTCCCCTCTTAACCCCTTCTCTAAGGTTGCTCTTACAGTCTTCTTTCCATGCTGGCTGTGTGTGGGGGAGACCACTAGGAGGTTAGAGTGATTTTTCCAACGGGGGGAAAAGTTATTCTAATAGTAGGATATCTCAGCAATCCTGTGGCTATACTATCTAGAGGTTATAGGATTGCTCTGTACACAATTATTAAGATTAAGTTAAGTTTTATTCACAATCCTCTATTACGTGTATACAAAATAAGATCTCAAATATTTTCAGCATTATTTTTTTCTCAATAGTTCAAACTGCAAATAATGTATAATAAATTTCTTGTAAGTAAATTCTACTGATTTTCATAGGTCCTACTTCCAAAAGAATAGGCTTAAGGACTGGGATGTTTGATATTTTCTACAAAGTCACATTGTTCATACTTTTACAACATGTGATAAATACCTCTTTTGTTCCACCCAAAATGACTGACCCTTGCTCCACTAGATTTATCAAGATATGCAGAGGGTTTGCCCATGTGCTAAACTAAGCACGTAGCACATAATACTAAGTAGTAAGGAAGCTACTATTGTGCCACATTGAATATGTGATTTCTGCCACATACTTGTGCATTAAAGTGCCATGGAAAAACTATGAGATATAAATGTGAAACAAATGTCACATTTACACTAAATACACTAAATTACTCTAATGCTATTAAATTGGAATCTTAGGCTGTAATCCTCAAAATACTTACTATGGTGTAAGTTTCATTGTAGAGAGTGGGACTTACTTCTGAATAATAGCTGCTGCTAATCTTCCTTGTCTATTTTTAGCAACAAATTAAAAATAATGTTTCAGACAAGAAGACCGTTATACTATATTGAATTATGGCTTTTGCAACACCTTGCAAGGGATCTATTACTATCACCTGAAATTCAGCTGGCTTTAATGAAGCACACTGCTTCAGCTATCTGGACAGGCATAACATGAATTAATTTATACAAACTGTGGTAATCTCCATGTAAGATTACTACACTATACTCTAAATGAGCTACCTCTAAAGATGGCACAGAAACTGCAGCTGGTACAAAATACAGTGGCCAGCCAGATCTTGCACTGGTTTCCAATGTATTTTGAGCCCAATTCAAGGTGATGGTTTTAAAGCCTTATAAAACTTAGGCCCATAATGCCTAATAGATTGTCTTTCCTGGTATGAATCTACTCTCACCCTCTGATAAACATCAGAAGCCCTCCTCTGAGGCCAGTTCCTAAGGGAGGTTTGGAGGATGTCAAAAAGGGGTGGCCTTTTTGGTGGCGGCCCTACAATTATGGAATGCAAGACCCACCTAGTACTAGGTGAAGGCTCTATTCCCAGGCACTTGATGGCATATTATGCCATGCACCAGCGGAATGTGTTGGTTATGGTTTCCAGCTGTTTCATGGGATTATTTATGGATAATTGTTTTAACAGTTTTAAATTTCATAACTTAAATTTTAATTTTGGTTGTAAATGGCTCCAAGTCAACTGCAGTCTAATAAGCTGAATAATAATAATAATAATCAGAAGTAGTTGACTGAGTTGCTGACTGAGAAACTCCAAAAAGAGATTCTCCAAAGCAAGCTTTCCTTTGACCCAGTTGCAAAAGTCTGCAGCAAAGACACAGCAGAATCCATCAGCTGTTGGCCACCTCTTTCAGAGAACTAAATTCTACTTATACACTACTGCATAACAGGAGAAGGTAGTTGCCTGAATCTCTAAGGGGTCACTTACTAAAGTTACTTTCACTGCTTGCATCAGGCAAACAGTGAAGTACGGGTGAAAGAGCAATGAGTTGCTATACTGCCTGCTGATTACTAACTCTATCATGCCTTCCTCCAACAAAACCTTAACAGGTGGAAGGTAGTTTCATTCAGGAATAGACAAGCTGTGGCTCCCATTAGATGGCTTAAGCTAAAAGTTAGCAAATATACATATAAAATTCCTCTGTAAACAAATCTTTCAGGCATTAAGCCATGCTGCAGCTCATGACAGAAGTATGGCAAGCATACATAGCTGACCTTTGGGCCATACTACCAGCTTTTGGGTAGAAGAGAACACTAGTAAAAAATAAGCAGGCATCGCAAGTGCTGAGATAGCAATTTGTACTTCCTGTTAAACAATAACATTTATAACTTTGAAGGCTGATGTTCTATAGGAAGTGCTCATTCCCACCTTTTGTACAGGAGATTAGACAGAATCTTGAGCCTCCTGGTGGACCCAACCCTATAGCACTACACTTATTTTAGTTTCTTTACTCATTTTTATATAAGCATGATACATTAATTTCTCTAGGTTGTAACAATTTATAGCCTTCATGATGCTGACAGGACAACATGAACAAAATTGTTGCTATAATATAGCTGCTAAAAGCCTGATAATATAAGAACAGTTTTCAACTTAGAAGTCTTGCTTCCCCACACCTACACCTTAGAGATGCTAATGATTTATCTTCCGCAAGTTTCTTTTCCTATTGTGTTGTCTCAATTCCCTTTGTTTTATTCTAAGGTGCCTCCAGTATACTGTGGTGATTCCTCATCTGATCCCATACCACTCTTCCAAATTGTGGATAGGTTATAAAAGCATTTTGTACAGACTCCATCTTTGTAGTCCCTTCAGGGACTGCCTACACGCTGCATTATTCCCTGTATGTCTGAATAAACTGGAAATGTTCTCTTGATTGTACATCCCCAGAGGACTCTCAGAGGCTGATTTTTTTTCACTCCTGTCAATGTACAGTAATGTACTACTAATCATTAGCATTAGAGAACTGATATTGGGATGCTAAAACATCTACAGACTTTTAATTTTAACTTAATCAACTTGGTCTGATTTTTACTGATAACAACATGCTGAGCCTCTGAGGCAGTATGAGCTTAGACGTATAAGAAATCTTTGAACCGAAGAAGCTGGGACACACGTTGTCCACTCAATGCTCAGCTGAATTTTGCCCTAAACTTATACATAGACTCCAACTGGAAATCAACTAATTTTGTTCATTCACCCAAGCTTCTCCCCCTCCCTTCTCACAATGCCACATTAATTATTAGAGTAAAGGAGTATTTTTTGTGATTTAAATATTTAATACAGTCAGGAAAAGAAACAAACAAAATCAATCACATTATAATCCTAAACACTTTTTGTACGTAACAATCCCTACTGAACAAAGTAAAACTTCTTTGTACACATGCATGGCTTTGCACTGTAAAACGGCTGAATTGCTGCTTGCTCAGAAGAAAGATTCGTTGCATTCATTGGATATGATTGCATAGGAATGAAGTTGTATAGGTCAATCCAAAGCATGTTTACCTGAAATCAAGTCCTACTATGTCCAAAGGGCCTAAAGCCCTAGTAAATAGGCATAGGATTTCACCTATGTTTACTCAGGAGGAAGTCCCACTTTATTCGGAGTATTGATCTCCCTCCCATATTAGTTAAATAAGTAATTTTAACACTATCTTTCAGCATGCATGATGCATCCCATCCACTCAACTCTATAGTCATTCTTGTGTGTTTTTTTCATGTTCTAAGAGGCACATAGACCCTGCATTATAGCATCAATCATTCAGTATTCTGTTCATTATCAGTCCAGATTGATACCTGGTAGAATATAAGTAACCCACAGAAGTTAAAAATAGAATTATATATTGCTTCATCTTTGCTATATACCTGTCCTTAAAATTATACACCTGGGCAGGAAAATCTCAATCAATCAGTTCACATACCTTGAACAATCAACCACATACATGAACATACCTTGGTATCATCCATGGAAATAGGAGTTCCACACACACACTGAGACATCAAAGAGTTGATTAAAATCATCCTTCTGTCATTTGCACTGAGTTTTACAAATGACTTGAAAAAATGAGCATAACAGTCAATGCAGCTAGCTGCATAATGTTTAAATTTCCATGACCTTGTACCTTTAAACCAAGGGAATGACACGTCACATGCTCTCTTTTTGTGTGCTATTTATTATTGCCCTATCTTAAGCAATAAAACTTGGCAGACAATTGAAAGAGATTGCACCTGCTGCACTCTGTCCAAATTACAGAACAGAACTACGGAACAGTTTGTTCTAGGTTTGCTGCACAGAAATATAGTGTTATTTTATTTCTATATAGTAGTTTATTTAAAATATTTGTATATCACTTCATGGTTAATAGAATGAGGTA